CAGAGTTATCCAAGCACATCAGAATCCTAAGCTTTCTCTCCATCTACCAAAACCATGTTTTCTCATCTCTATTTCCCAAAATTTGCACAGTGCTGTAAAGAAAGGATTTGTTCCAGAAACATCACTGACTAACCCCTTTGGTATGGTCCCCAAATTTCCCCGGAGCCAGTACTGTCAGCCCTCCACATCTAGGGGCTCCTCATCTGTGGGTTCAACCAAGCAGCAATCAAAAGTACTTGAAAAAAATAGCCTGAACTTTTCCTTGTCATTATTCCCTAAATAATATAGTATAACAACTATTTACAGGCCATTTACACTGTATTAGGTATTACAAGTAATCTAGAGAAGATTTAAAGTATATAGAAGGATGTGCGTAGGAAATGTTCCAATACTTCAGCATTTTATATAAGGACTTCGGCATCCATAGGGGGTCCTGGCACCAATCTCCCTGGATATCAAGAGATGCTTACACGCACTTGACTATAAGCCAACACTATCTGGTTACTACTGGAAGGAGGCAGCAGTGGGAAGAAACTACGCTAGAGATGTGCACTCCTCCCAATCACTAGGTGTAGCTAATTCTTAGCTACAGGAACTAAGAAATAATTATAAGGACCACAGAAACTGACAATATGCCAAATTATTCTAGAGTCCTAATGCAATTAGAATGGTCCTGGATATAAATAAGATCATTTGGAGGGGTAGGGAGAATGTTACTTTAAATGTCTTTAGTTTCTGCTCTGCATGGGAGTATATACTCAAAGGAGTAAAAGCTAAAACAAATGTAAAGTCCCATCTCTAGGGTCATTAGTCAGGAAACCTAGCCCCAGAGATTATGCTTTTCTCAGTCAAAACAGCACCACTTCCTGAACCAGACAGACCCTGCCAGTCCTCAGCTCAACCACGAGGATATCCAAAAGGCAGTTGTACATCACAAGAGTGTTCACAACATTGCACTGGAGCTTCGACAGCATCCAGAAAAGCAGGCAAGCCCTGTATACTCTATGTTCTGGGACAGGGAAACTGAGCTCAGAAAGATCCAGCAGCCTGCACAGGATGCAGAGCTGCAGGGAAGCCCTGTGCTGTGATTTCAAATCTCCAGTTTTATCTACTTTCCAATAGCAATGCTGCATCTAGTGTCAAGAACAATGAAGAGGAGGGGACAGTGAAGATGACAAGCTAACTGCGCATGGGGTGGCAATGAAGCATGGGCAACTTCTCCTAAGATGCTTCAAACTTTGGAAACCCTTCTTAAGAAAGGGTTAGCATTTAACCTTCAGAGTTCATCTATATGCATTATTTAGCTGATCTCACAAAGAATTAGCTAGAATCTTGTGGATATAAGACACTCTATAGTTGGAAGTTCCATCTTGGTGAAAAGACCACTGAAAATGTACCTTCAAATGCCCACCAACTCACGAACAAACAACATGTATCTATATAATCAAATATTATCCAGCTACAAAAGGGAGCATTGTATTAACCCATGTTATATTACAGATGAACTAAATGAAAGGAGCCAGCCACAAAAGACTATTTATATGAAATGTCCGGAACAGGCAAATCCACAGATGTAAGAGAGTGGATCCCAGGTGTAGGGGCTCAGGAAAGGGAAAATGAGGTATGATAGCTAATAGGAATGGGTTCCCTGATAGAATGAAGAAAATGTTCTAAAATCAATTGTGCTGATAACTGTGTAACTCTACTAATATACTAAAAGCCTTTATCTTCACATTTTAAGTGAGTAAACTATGTTACATGGATTATATCTCAATAAAGCTGTTCCTCAAAAAAATCTCTGGTAACTTCCCTTGTAGACACTGAATTCTATGGAAAACATTTGGAGACAGTGCCTTTGTTATCAGATCAAAAGCAGCAACACTCGGGCAGAAGCAGACTTTTCACTGTGTTGGCATTCAGTAGTACTCCTGGCTTCATTACAGAAAGAATTCAGATGCTCAAAAGACAAGTGTTATCCAAACTCAAAAAACTTGGATCTGTTTTTATAAATTATGCTATCTTACTACAATGGCAATACAGTCCTCCTGCTTCGTGGAAAATGCTCAGTGAGTCAATGTCCTGGCACGGATTCAAAAGGCTTCCCCTAGTTTGTCGGGTGGACCTTGCTGGGTACTCCCTGCCACCTGCCCTCTTCCAGCTCTGGATCTGTGCATCCATCACAGAATCCCCAATCAGGCCTGCTCTGGGGGCCAGGTGAGGGGCAGTCTGCCGACCTCACTTACTCCCACTCACCCTTGCGGTTGTCACAGTTGACTTCTTTACCCCCCATCCAAACGCAAAAGCATCCTGCAGGGAGGGATCGGTCTAACTCATATTTGAAATCCCAATGCCTGGCAAAGAGGATGAGGCCTCTACCTTCAGAAGCAGCAGCAATTCAGTCACCTTTAGATGTGTCACAGTTGGAAGAACTACAAATATCAGCAAGGCAAAGAGAAATTTAACTTTAACAACTTCTAAGATGTGTGTGCTAATGAGAAGCAGGACAGCACTGTTTTTATAAGGTTAACAGTGTAATGCTCCCTAACTCAGCACACCGTGCCTCTCTTGTGGGAGTAACATGCAGAGCCACTCACTGATGCAGCACCAAGCATGGCTGCCACTGGCAGCACAGAATATCTCCACACAGTCCCTGCCTTCTGCTACAACGTCTAGTCTACCCTACTTCTTCAAATGATGTGTCATGTGCCCTGGCATCACTGAGATTATGACTGACCACCACAAAGTGCACAGCAAGCAGCAGCATGGAGTGTGGCCTCAAATCTTCCTCTGTCCCTTACCGACGGTGTGACCACAGACAGGTTAGCAAATGACTGAGACACCAGGCTCCCAATCTTCTGAGGACAGGAAATAACCCCCAGCTCCTAGAAGTGACCTAAGAATTAAGTAATCAGCACAAAGGCATGGCCACAAGGTATAAAAGACAGAATCAGCAATTTATGTCTCTTTACCTCAACCTTTACCCCTCCATATTCCTTCTTAAGTACTGACACGAATGTGATAAATTCTTTTAAAGAAGTTTCATGACCATGAAAAGGTGAAAAGAGAGATAGCAGCTTACCAAGAAGAAAGGAAGCATATGGAATAGAGGCCAAAGGTATGAACACCTGCTCCTGACACTTTCCTGTTGACCTAGAGGCCCAGAGATATGGCTCAGACACTGAGCGTCAGCAGACCAGTTAAGAAAATAACTGGGCTGGACCAGAATCTCTACATCTACAACAAGCAAGCAACACCTGAGCATGAACAAAAGAGGAGGCTCTCCTGTTCCTGTGACTCTGTAGTCTGTGCTTCCAAACCACTAAATCCACAGCAGCAAGTTTCAAAACCACAAACAGAATAGTAAGTAATAACAATCAATAGAGCTTATGCTATGCCAGGCACTGTTCTGAGACATTTACATATATTCCCTCACTTCATTCTCACCCAAGAAGGGGTAAATTGAGGTAGAGTGGGCACACGGCTCATCCCAAGGCTAACCACACAGTGAACGGGGAAGCCAGAGCTAACACCAGGAGTCTGCTCCCTGGTCTCCACCACTGCACTCTAGGGCTGTTTCTCCCAAGATCTGCTCTCACACTGGCTTCCCTCCCTCTTGACTTCAGGTGACTTTCCACAGCAGCAAATGTAGACCAGGACTACAAGATGACAAGCAGTAGCTGGTACACAGCAACCAGAACAAGTACTATGCCAAGTTCTTCAGCTACAGCATTGTTTTAACCTTCTAATAGCCACAGATCTATACGCATATACAAATATGGATGTACACACATGTATGTCTGCATACAGGTATGTACACTGTACAAGTATGTATAAATACATATATGTATACACATGTGTATATGTATTTGAGGATGTACATGTGCATATATGTATGCATGTATATAAAATGGATTTTTTTGTACATCACATGAACTAAGTATGTATTTTATACAAAATGTTACCAAGTTTCAAAAAGGACAAACGATTTGTCCAAGGCCCCATAGCCTGAGGGTGTGGAGAGTGTTAAGACTCCAGTACCCAACCACGAAGCCCAGCTCTGACCTCCTCACTATACCCAAATACCATGACTTTATCCTGAGCAACAAACGGTTAGGCGTCAGTGATTTTTCAGCCAGAAGACTATACTACCACATCAGATTTCTGAAGCCTCACTTTGTGCTGCCTGTGGCAGAAGACGTCATGCAATTAAAACAGAACCACATCCCGGGCCAACAGGTATGCCTCCTTTATAACTTCAACAAGTCTCAAGTCACTCTCAGATGCCAACCTCTTGAGAAAGAGTTGAATTTGCAAAAATAAACATTCATTCTTTGGGTTCCATGATCTCCCACCAAAAAACCAAACAAACATTACCATGGTGAATGTCACCAGTACCTTGAATTAAAGTGACATTTTAATAAGAATGCTTCACAGACTTCCCTGTCAGAGTGTTTACTGTAAATAACACAATGGTACAAGAGTAGTCACCGTACATAGTAGGTACCAAATACTCACCATATGTAGTAGGTACCAAATATTGTTCTTAATCCAATTATCTACTATAGTCTACTTAGCAAATTTGATCTTCCAACAACATTTAGGAACATCTATTATTATTATTATGCCTGTTAATAATTTTTTTAAAATATCATTTAAGAAATCTTTGCTTCATTTCTTTATTTCTGCACTAGGGGCACTTATATGGCTTTGTAGCTCTTTCTTCTTAGACTTTCTCAGATGCTAACAAATCTGCAGACAGTGACTCCTTTAATCAAATCTCTCTCTCTCCCTTTTAATGTATTAGAGACTGTCACTGTGAAAGGCACTTAGGGCGGGGCCTTCTGTAAAGGGCAGCGGTGTGCAGTGAGAGGCCCTCTGTGCTGCCAGGACCGGCTGTTCACACACAGGTGACCTGGAGCAGGACACTTCCATTCACATAAATCTGAGAAAGCAATGAGCACCCAGGGGAGACGGGGCTGCCGCTCGGGCTTGCTACTTACCAGCTCTGTATGAACTTTAAGATGTGCTTGCAGCTTATATTTATCTGGAGTCGAGTAGTCACAGCCGTCAGTGGGACACTTCAGCAAGATGTTACTGTGTTTCTGAATTACATGGCGTTTAAGGCAGTTTTTGGTGATGGAAGAGTAATGACACTGGGAGCAATAATACAGATGTTCCCGGGTGTGGGTGCGGACATGCATGTCAAAATGCACTTGGTACCAAAAAAGTTTGCCTAAAAAAATATTTTCACATGAGAACAAGGAATTTTCTTTTATACTGAATTCGAATTTTTCAATTATTATTTTTTTAAACTACTTTTTCTCCCTCATGTGCTTGTCCGGGTCGCCCTTCACACTTTCCACCACAAGTCTGTCTGAAAATTACTTTTCAAAGGTGGCAAGTTGCAAACATTACGGGTGTTACCATCTTTGGCTTGATGTCAGGGCTGGCGAGGGGAAGAAGTACTCACTGAGGACCAATTATGGTGCCAAACACTATACTGCACATGCACAGATCAAAGAGCCTCTAAATCCTCCTGACCCTCCAGGACACCAGGTCCAGCACTGGCCTTCCCATATCCTGCACCACCAGCTCCCTGGGACATCCAGGAGCTGCACTTTCACTGTGAGTGGGAGGGTGTGGTTTGGGGCCTCCCTGCAAAAAGTTGCAGCCACTTCCATACCCTCTCTGCTTACCTAGATCACGGCCACAACTTAAAGCGCGACTTCATATTTGTCACATGCCAGAAGAAACATTCTTCCTGGTGAGAAGCTGGGAGAGGTTGTGGGTAACCCTCAGCATGCACACCTGACCATGCCAACATGGCCAGCTGTGCAGTCGTGCTGGCTGCCTCCACACAGACTCCTACTGCTACCTGTGACACGGGGTCACCTGCTCCTATCTACCATGAAGAAGAGTGGCTCATTTAGGAGGTGTTCTTTGCACAGAGACATGAGTTCCAATCACACCCTAGGTGACCACAATGTGATGGGAATGGACAGGGCTGCTGGGAAGGAGAGCTCCACTCAGAGGCACGCCAGTGCAGCCTTTCCTTACCACAGTATTCACACTCCAGGTCTCCATAAACCTTCCGGATCCTCTCGCACAGGCCAGTGTTCATTTGCTTCTTCTGCAAACTGTCCAGTACCTTCATGAACGCAGTGCTGCCGGGCTGGTGCTCAGAGGCAGCTTTACAAGAGTCAGGCTGGTGCACGTCAGGGTCCCCCCGACTGGCCACTGGAGGAAGGAGCTCTGAGGCCTCACCTGGGTTTGGCCTGAGACATCTGCTGGAATTGAGTTCACCAGCTGGGAGGGCAGTCACTTCCTGGCCTTCACTTGGAGGGCTCTTGGCACCCTGGGTCACTGGGCCAGGCCCAGAACTTTTGGTCTTGGATAGGAGTAGCACGATTTCTTCACCCTGAGTCTGGACTGAGCCTCCCTGCTGGGTGTCCAAGTTCTTCTCGGCACCAGCATGAGCCTCAGTAGAGGAGGTATCATTTTTTAATAAAAAATCATCAGAAACCACAGCGAGAGAATGCAGGTCTGCTGGGACCACAGTGGTTTCCAGCTCGCAGGGTGGCAGGGCATCACTTTCAGCCTGGGGGCTGGCCAAGGGCACCTCTGGGGCAGGCAATTCCACAGGGACTTCCAGTTCCTTCTGCTCCTCCTCACACTGAGCACCCTCAGGACAGGCCTCCTCTTTAAGAGCATCTACCCCATGGCACACAAACTCCTCCTCCACCAGCTGTAGCTGGTCTCCCAGGGCTTCCTGCTGGATGTCCCCTCCTGGCTCCAGGAGGCAGAAGCTCTGGTTGATGGAGCTGGTGAAGATCAGGGCCTCCTGCGCTGCTCCATGCACCTCTTTGATGTGGGAACGCAGCCTGATGGAGCTGACAAACTTCTTGAGGCAAATGGCACAGACATATACAAAGGGGTGCTTCCTTACGTGCAATTCCAATGCCTGGTACTTGGTGGCCCCATGGCCACAGAGCTCACAAGCATAGGGCCACTTGTCACCATGAACCAGCATGTGGCGGTCCCGGTCCAGCTCATTCTTAAATTTGCGCTCGCAGATGTGGCAGTCATAGAGCAGCTGTCGCTTGCCCTCCCTTGTCATCAGGCGGAGCTCATCCAGGGCCTCCTTGACCTTCTTGTCCTGTGGGTCGTGCGTGTCTCGGATGTGCTTGATGAGGTTCTTGACATCAGAATACTTCTTCTTGCAAAAGCGGCAGTGCTGCTTGATCTTCTTGTGCACCCGCTCAATGTGCACCTTGAGGTGGCCTTTGCTGAGGCAGGTGAAAGAGCAGTAGTCGCAGGCGAACTTCTCACCAGTGTGCTTGCGGAGGTGTACATTGAGGTTGGCCTTGATGGCGCTGGCGTAGCTGCACTGGGGGCACTTATATGGCTTCTCATTGGTGTGGATCCGCAGGTGGGCCTGCAGAGAGTGCTTGAATTTGAAGACCTTGTTGCAGTATTCGCAAGTGAAGATTTTCAGTTGGGTAGGACCTAGCCTAGAGATAGATTACAGTACAGTTACATTTGGAGATCTTGAGCTCTCTCAATGACCCAAACACCAAAGGCTTAGCACAGGATTAATTGAGGCAGAGGATGGATGAAGCGTTCATTCACTCAACAAACAGGACTAGAAGAACAGTACAAGCCAGGTACAGATGAAAGAGAAACAGGGAGTCTTGGTCCTACAGAACCTCGCAGTGCAGGGGAAGGAAAGACAAGGCAGCAAACGTTGCACAGTAGCACAGTAAGTGCGAAAGAAGTATGGGCAGGGTACAAACAGAGACTTATAGCCAATGTGAAAGCAATGGGAAGATTTTGCTGAAGGCTGTCCAAGTTGAGACTTGATGAGTAAGAAAGAAAGCATAACAGAAGGAGAAGGGAAGGGAAGTGGGATTTCGCACGTGCGCGCGCGCGCTCACACACACACACACACACACACACACACACACACACTAACCAGGCATTTCCCCTAATAGATCCGTAAGCATTCTGGGATATTTTTTAAAGGACCAGTCTTTACGGAACAAAGGGAGCCTCCATGGGACTAAATACAGTACCGGATGGTTCAACAGCTTTAACAATCCAGACTTGCCTATTCATTCGACCAACTGTAGCCTGACCTTATGCCCCGTTTTGCAAGATTCTACTCAAGGGCCACCAATTAGGGAAAGATCCATGGCCTTCATCCATGTCCTTACTTCTTCCCAGGAGAAAAGAACTATGTCGCACACCTGACTGGTGAGTTTGGGACAGAAACTAGAATCCGCTAGTGGCGCCTGGCTCTCCCCTAATGGTGAGGATGTACCTGCCTTCCTGTGGTAAGCATGGGACAAAGCAAGCACTCAGCCAGAGGTATCTGAGAGCCTGGCCAGGGCTGCAGGTGTGGCAGGCAGCCGTTGGCCCAGCACTGCAGCACAGCTGAGGAAGCTCCATGCCTCACCCTCTCCCACAGCTCTGTCAGCAGCAGAGTTGAAGATGGACTTTCCCCCTTTCTCCTACTCCATCACAGCTAGTGTAGAGCTCAGATGGGGAAATAGGATTGCCCTTCACTAGCCTCATACACCACTTAAAGAAACTGCAACTGATTAATACCTGGCAATATGTGCAGACACTGCAATAAATTTTTTCATGTGGTGAAAAATAAAAACATGGTCTGCCTCATGGAGCCTGTCTTTTTCAATGGGGCAATGTGAATACTAAAGGTGAAAGTGGCAGTAATGATAACAATGATAGCTAACAATTATTATTTTATTACAAAAGATCCCAGATATTTAATCTCAACCTACTATCATACTCATTTTACAGATGAGAAAAATGAGCATCTGCCAATCATCCTACAATTGGTAAGTGATCTGACCCAGGCAGACGACCTGGGGTCCCGTTCATTCATCTGCACGCTCTGTACTGCCTGAAATCACCAATGCACAGCAACCTGTTCTCACTATGACCATGCATGTGAAGAAGGCTTCCCATATGGGGCTTCGACTACAGTTGAAATGGCAGAGTCTTATTTCTGAAAATATCAAATGACAACCACTAAAGTACTTCAGCATGTACCAGAGACAGAAACTGGCAGAGATCAAAGAACTAAGTAAGCCTTCCTCTCTGGCTAAAAGTGCTCCTTCTGGATAGTGTGCCCAGGTGATCCAAGAAGGACCTGCGACATACTAACAAATCATGTAGTGCTATTAATTAGGCCACTAAGCTGTACCTACTACAACTGTAAAGTCTATATTTACGAAATTATCTGTACATCTATGTCTGATCAACACAGCTTGCTTTGTCTTTAAATTAAAAATATTTAACTAGATTGCAGTCCAAAAATATCAGAGGGTACCACTCACATGATGTATTTAAAATATTCAAATTTGAAAGTTATTACTATGCCTGCATGCTAAGTCCAATGCTTATTCAAGGAAAGTAATTTGGATCTTTCCCAAATGACAAAGATAACCAGAAAGTGATACATTTTATCTGTAAAAAGACCACTGAAGAAAGAAGCCCTGGATTCATAGTGTTAATTAAATAAACAAATCACAGTATTTGCTCCTCTAATCCAAGGTCTAAATGGTCTTAGGAGAATCTTTTGCTTGGAGATTTTAAATTATTAGAAAAATAGCTAGTGACCACGTGTGCCCTGTTTCTGGTGGAGGATGACAAGGGTCAGCCTACAGTTTACTCTAAGCAGAAGCCACATGATTCTGAACCAAGGCATAAAGCTGCAATATCTACACCATTCCTACTATATTATTTCACTCCAATGCTCCCTATTCAATAAAAGTACTCTCATCACTGCACTTTATAAATCAAGGAGAATTTAAAAGGCCAGATGCCTTAATCCAGTTATTCTACCTCTGTGACTATCTTAAAGAATACAAAACTAGATGAAGGTGTTCATGGCCCATTTCTCACAATAGTTAAGAATAGGAAGCTGCTTGAAGGTCCCAACATAGTTTCCTACTTTGTTCATTTATTTTTTCACTCATTTGTTCACTCATTCAGAAAAGGGTTACAGACACTAGGGATACAAAAGGTAACAAAAGCAAACTGAACTCTTCCCAGCTGGACTTCACTCTGCTAATGTAAAAGCCAGTAGATAAGGCCCATAAGCTCCCTATGGAAAGGACAAGATAAGATATTCCAGGAGCCCAGTTTAGAACAGTCTGACTGACTACAGGAGAGGGAAGGTCTCCTTGATGACACGACATTTCAGCAGAAAGCCAAAAATTGAACAGGAGCTAACTAAGCAAGCAGGAGGAGATTCATCCCAGAGGAAAAGGAGGAGGCAACTGCAAGGCAAGATCAAGGAAGTGAAAAAGAGGTCCAGATGCCTGGAGCACATCTGGAGCACAGAGGACCAGAGGAAGTGTGCGGGGGACAGGCTTCTAGGTGGGAAAGGCCAGCCTCAAAGACCCCTGTTCTTCTAAGAACAAAAAGAAGCCTTCAAACATTAACAACGGAGGAGCTTCTATGTCCCAGGTTGTCTTCATGAAGTTATAACATGTCCTTAGGAAGCAACGACTTATGATTAAGTAACAGAGTATAATGTGACTAAGTTTTAAAGATACAAAATCACGTACAAAATATAAACTCAGTGTTATAAGATGAATGTATTGGGGGAAAAAGGCCAGGAGGAAATACATTAGAACTACTAACAGTCGTTGGGTAATGAGATCACAAATTACATTTTTTCTCAGCCTTTTGGACTTTCCAGATTTTCTATATAAGTCTGCATCACACTTGTTATAGGAAGAAAAAAATGATATACCATAAAAGTCTTAATCTCTATTTTACAAAGCAAAATTATCATGTGAAAAATTTTTAAAGTCTTTCTTTATTATTTTATAATTTACATAATAAATATTAACAGAAGACATGACAACAAGGATATACAGCCTGAATCTGTTAATTAAATTTTGAGTATATTTACCTATAACTAGATTAGCATGTAGCTGAATCCCTCCCCAAGAGACCTTGAAATATGATGAAGATAATTAGTTAAGGTCTACAAATCAACCCAGGTTGAGAAACAGAATGATCATGGAATTTAATTCTATTACAGATCCATCAAAAGAATAAATATTTTTACAACTTTATTTGTAGTCAGTTGTTTACATTTATAAGAATAGAAGGCTGAGGCTACAAATTAATGAAGCAAATCACATGAAACAATAACATAATTAGTGAGTACAACATGAGCCAGGGACTATGCATATAGCTCATCGTTTATTCTCACCACTGAACCAAGATTCTATTATTCAATTTTACACTAATGCACTAGATAACCAGAGGACAGTAACATGTCAAGGTGAAAGAGCATGGACTTCTTATATGTCCACCAACAGACAAATGGGCCAAGAAGGGTAAACTTGACTTATTTGCAGGAAAATGGACGCACCTTGAGACTATAATGGTAAGTGAGATAAATCAGCACGCAAGATTAATTACCACATGGTTTCTCTCATATGAGAAACCCAAAGTATAGATAAATGGCAAAAGGAAAGGTAAATAACAGTAAATAGGGAGACAGACTTTTTACAAATAGAAAGGAGACCAAGAGATGGAGGGAGAGAGGAGGAACGAGATGGGAAGGGGAGGAAAGAATGAAGATGTGTTCTGTGCTTTACCAACTACCCATCACGGATGTAATTGACATGTACTACAAGCATATGCTAATAAAAAATAAAAACTGAAAACAAAAACAGCGTGAGTTTCATTGGGGCAGGGGCTGGGTTGGATTCCTTGTCATGTCAGCAGCACCCAGAACGTTACAGGTGCCCGACTGACCTGAGGTACACTGGGGTAGAAGAGCTTAGAGTCAGCCCAGGTTGGTTTGTGCTAAAGCTTGTGCTCTGCTCAAGAACAACTCATTTCCCCTCTCCTAGGAGCACAGGGAAAGCATCAGGAACTGGCATTTCTTGGTCTTTCCTCCCATCTGGGGAAAACATTTCCAGAGCCCCAGTAACTGGTAAACTAATGACTTTGGCGGGACCATATCACAGCTAAGACATCCTGGGGGGGCAGTGTATGGAAGGGACAGCTGATCCAGGTATTGACAGGACCGTTTGAAGGTCAATTAAAGTTTTCAAAATTCATATTCCCCATATCAACAGTTCTACTTCTGGCAATTTATCCCACAGGAAGTCTTGAAAACGTATGGGAAGGTGGATATTCAAAAACAGTTAATCATGGAACTGTCCATGGGAGCAAAAACCGGCTATGCAAATGACAAAAAGCCCACATAATAGTAAACCCAATTTTTAAATATGTGTTAAAGCAAAAGATTTTCAAGGTGCAATACATTTTAAAAAGTTACACAGTACAATTGGTATTTCATGTTTTAAAAAGTAATAATATTAAAGCAAAATATCATAGTACACCATGAAAACATTATGGGAGCTGCATAGTTTTGATCTAGGCTGTCTCCCTAAATATCTCCCGTGCTTACTGGTGAGGCTTTTGGAAGTGACTGGATCACAGGGAATGCTGTATTCAGCAGAGAATTGGCCCACTGATGAGTTCTCATAGATAAATATGTTGTGAAGAAATGGGGCTGGGTTTGAGAAGATGTCTCACTGCGAGAGAGTATACATCTCCTTCCCTGGCTCCTCCTTTCTCTCTCTCTGCTTCCTCGCTGCCACTAGGTGAGCAACTATCCTCACTATCCTCTGCCACCATGATATTGTTGCCTTGGAGCCAGCTAACCATAGACTAAATCCCCTGAACCATGAGCCAAATTAAATCTCTTCTCCCTGAAATTGTGTGTGTCAGCTACTGTGTCTCAGAAATGAAAAAGCTAACACAGTACTATGAGTAGGGCTAGTGCAAGAGAGAAGCCATGTGGGCTGCAACCAGTAAGACCATAGGGGTGGAGCTGCCCAAGCCTTTTAGAGTTCATATCTGGCCATAAACTGCTCTGAGTGGTGGATATGGAGCTACAGGATTTAATGTTATTCCTACTGCATTTTGGTTTTGGTCCAATTCCTTTCTATCCCCCTATTTTTTCCCTTTTGGAATGGAATATTTACCCTGGGCCATTGTAAGTTGGAAGTATCTAACTTTCTTTTTTATTTTATTTTTCTAGGGGCTTAGCTAAGAGTTTCCCTCTTGAGTCTCAGAGGACACTTTGGACTTTTAGGCAATGTTGGAATTCTTAAGACTTTGGCAAGTCTTAGAGACGCACTACATACATTTTACATAATGAGATGGACATGAGGCTTTCGGAGGCTGGAGCAGAATGTTATATTTTAGATCTAGGTGTTCCCCAAAATTTCACATGTTCAGAGGTTTTGAAAGGTGACTGGATCATGAGGGAGCTATCTTCATCAATGGACTGATCTATTGATAAGTTCATAGCTAAATATGCTGTTAGGAGGTGGGCCTGACTAGAAGAGGCATGTCACTGTGGGTGTGCTATGGAGGGTATATCTTCCTCTCTGGCTCCTCCTTGCTCTCTGATTTCTGACTGCTATGAGGTGAGCAGCTTTCCTCTATTATACCCTACCACCATAAGGTTCCTGCCCTGGAGCCAGCTAACCATGGGCCAAATCCCCTGAACCAAGAGCCAAATTAAATCTCTCCTCCTTTAATTTGTGTGTGCCAGGTATTGTATCTCAGCAATGAGAAATCTAATGCAGAAGCATGTAACTATCAATAGTAGTTAAATCTTTTAAAAAGGATACATTAATTTGCATCATATGGGATGTCTGAACTTTCTACAACACATTAGTGTTACTTCTTAAAGAAAAAGAGGCAAGACATAGTGGTGCACATATATAATCCTAATGCTTGGGAGGCTAAGGCAGAAGGATCACAGTGAGTTCAAGGCCAGCCTGAACCACAAAGTGAGACCCTGTCTCAAAACAAAAGGAAAGAAAAGAAGGCCATATTTATACCTCCTTTTATAAAGGTTAAACATATGGTTGCTTGGAGTAAAATGCTCCGTCTTCACTGAGCTAACTGGTGCCTCGTTCCTAAAGTATGTCCATCTCCTTTGCATTTCAGAGGGAAATATTACACTAAAAACCATACTGGAAAGGTTCATTCACTCAATAAATCAAGAAGTCAGTAGCTTCACAAATAAGTTTGTAAAGAAAATTGAGATAAACAAATATGCTGATCCTGCTTCTGCTCTGCAGAGGTCACTCACGTTCAGCATCTGCCTGACATTACAACTTACCTGCTCGACTTCATGGGCTGCTCGTACGGGGTCTGCTGAATGGCATACTCCTGGTACCCTCTCCGTGGAACCAGATCAGCTGCGCTAGGCTCAGGATTTGCTGCTCCTGTTTCTGGGGGCCCAGCCTCCACTGGAATAATCTTGGTAGCACCTGAGGTTGATGCAAAATGCACTGCTTACTACACAGCACTGGTGGCACCAAGCCCAACCTGGCAGAGTCAGGGGTATCTGGAGGGCATCGCCTTATCTGGGATTCGCAACTATCATGTCAGTTTTCCTTCAGCTGACATATTTAACGCATGACAGTGAGTGTGTGTATGTGTGTGTGTCTGAGGGGCAAGGGCTAAACTTTTTAAAAATATGTTTAAATGACCCCTTGAGGTACATTTTCACTTGATCTACTTATTAAACACACATCCACATATGCGTGTGTGTGTGTATATATATATATATATATAAAATCTTTGTAGGGCTTCACACAGACCCAAATGTGTTAAACTTTAAGTATATGCAGAGCTGCTTCAAGATAGCATACATGGTAAAACAGATGATAAATAGGAATTTAAACCACACATGGGCTCTAATTACAAATATGACATTACCTTAACATCTCTTTGTCTGTTTCCACTCTGAATTATTTTGGGGTACAGAGTAAATAAATCTCAAGGGACACCTTTAAGGCCTTCTATAGCACCAGACATTATATGTGGGTGCATGTACCTGGGAGCATGGGGGTGTGTATGCACATGTACCTACAGAGTACTTGAAAGAAAAGTTCCCAATCTAAACCTTGTTTCTGAAATAGCAAAGGGACTGAGTTGTTCTGTCACCCTCACTTACATAAATCTCAAAATACTACCATTAATTTTTGAGGAAAACTATGGGAACTTTCTCTAGTGACCACTGGGTATGAGAAATTCTCTGGGACTTTTCACTTTCCAGAATAACACAGTCCTAAAGGAGAATGGGGGAAACAAAGTGATTTTGCAGAAAGTTGTTGTCTCCTAATTTTATATGTCTGTTCTCTATTAATCACCTTATTCTGTAGTGAAGTACAGAAGAAAAATATTTAGTCACTGCTTTCACTTTAAATATAAGTATTTAAAAAGTAATAGCTGACCTTAAAATCCTAAACTTTGATAGCTACCACTCCAGATGGATAGGGAAAAAAACAGAAAATGCTATCGATTAAAGTTCATTACCATATATTACTTTTTATCTAAAGTGTCCCATCCTAGGAGAGAGTATTTTTAAAAAGGATAGTATAATGCATCTGCTGGCTATTTCATATGAAAGTAAACAGACAAAAACTTCTAATATTACAAAATATTTGGTGAACACTAAAAATACAAGTTAGGCACAGTTCCCTGCCCCTTCCTGGCCACATGGGCCATTTCCCTCAGAGGAGGTGCGTGCTGGCAGGAAGGGAAGAAAGACTCCCCACAGAGGACTGAGGTCCCCACTCACATGACAATGGCTGGCGGAGGCCACAGTGGCTGCAGCCACCCTGGCCACCTCCGATCAGCATACTATCCATGAACAGCCCCGGGCAGTAAGTAGGTCGGTCAGTGTACCAAATTCATAGGTGATGAAATGACAGCCCCCTCAGAGAATGGGCCACCTGAGACACAGCTTCAGGCCAGTACTCCAAATCAGACCACCCTATCTAGTTGCCCTGGGGACAGCTGTGCCAAAGCCTCGTGTGTCATTTCCAGACTATTGTGATTACCTGGAATGGCTTCGTGAGCAGTTAAAACCACACTGATGATGGGTTTCTTCACTCCAGAGAGTTGCCTCGCCTCCTTTCCTGAGGAGATCTTCTGGATTTTCTCTGTTTTCTGGGACCGAGGTCTTTTGGGGGCCTTTTCTCGATCATCTTCCTTGTACTTCTTTTCTAGTTCAAGGTCTGACTCATTACCTGGGGAGCAAACACCAAGATATATAAACTACCTTTCCAGATTAGGGACAGAGTTGGAGTGCAAACTTAAGTCTTAAGGGATGGTGACAGTAAAGGAAATGTCTGTCTCTGTCTGCGTCTCTGTCTGTCTCTCTGTCTGTCTGTCTGTCTCTCTCCTTGGCCCACAGTGCCATACAGTCCCACTGTATCACCCTGGGCACCATCTCTAGCTCTTCACTCATTCACTCATTCTAGCACTCTACCCAGGCCCCCACTGAGCACCAGGAATGCACTGCTAGATAAAACAGACATAGTCCCTAGTCCTATTTTCATGAAGCCCAGCAGCTTTCAGAATTGTCAATAAATGATACTGCAGAGAAAATTCAAAGTTCCAAGACACAGTCTAAGAAAGAAACCAGTCACTTATTCTACTTACACGGATCAGGTGCTTTTCCTGTGCCAGGCATGGAAGACATAAACAGTGGTAAGGGCATACCCTGCCCTCTAGTGCCCTGCTGTCCAGTGGGAGTGAGGGACATACAGACAAAGAAGTACAATCAATAGCTGTTTGCTCTGCACTTTGTGACACAAGAGGGTACAGAAGGGGAGGGTAAAGTCTACTTGTGAGTTCAGAAACATTGTATGGACATGCAACCTTTCAGTTAAACTCTGTTAAACTAGGTCCTAGAAGGCCTCAGTGCCCATGAAAAGCCTGGAACTGTCCTTTGGTGAGTGCCAGGGGGTGAACCTCCAACGCTGGAGCTCAGTAAAGTAGCACGAGAAAGCAAAGCTGTGGTATGGACTCAAGTGAGAGCACAGGGCTGACTCTTGCCAAGGACCTCTCAGACATGTGGTGAGATGGTCACACCTTCTGATGGTTCAAAGGGAGTCTAGAAGTCCAGGTTTTTGCCTGAAATCTTATTTTTCAAGGCTAACCCTAATCCAGAATTTCAGGAAACAATGCGAGAGCCTAGCAAAACACATCTGGGGCACCCTGGGACCCACAGATTCCCACTGAAGCCTGTGAAAGACCACCTGTGAAGCCATGTCAGCCAGGGAACAGTTGGACTGAATTCAGGCTTTAAATCTGTGCCACCATTTTGAAGAATTAACTGGAGGGGCTCAGAAAATACTCAAACACATTACAGCACAAACACATCAGCCAGAACAACAGTGACCTTCACACAGGAAACACGGTATCAGCCTGAAGGGTAAAGAAAGCTTCCACATACAGTGAGGAACAAGGAAGGAGCACTCTCTTGAGAGTCCTAAGTGAGATGGAAGAAAAGGGCGTTTTCTCTTAGAACCACAGTCACATAATCTAATACAATCCACCTGAGAATCCTTGGTCAGAACACAAGACAAGAGCACAGAAAGCGATTCCACATAACCTCCCTTTGACTGCGTATGGGGTGTATGCATGGGTGCGGGACATGTGGGACATAGGCAGGCATAAGGAGGGGTTTGGAAAGAGCTGAAATGTGTGGTTATAAAGGAGGTGAATTCAGAACCGGGACAATGCACAAATGTGCATAAAGGTAACCTAGTAAGGACTTCTCAGGCAGGCGTACTGGGTAAGGAAAAGCTCTCTCAATGCGAAACAAGGAGAAAAATTGGGCAAATGAGGCAGAGTAATCAAAACAAGCATTCTCATTTTTAGTGTCCTAAAATCCAAATGCTTGGATCATCCTAGTAGAGATAGTAGATCCAGTAGAAACAGTCTTAGGGAAATTTTTAATAGACTGCTGATATCAAACTTAAGAGAAAAATGAGTAGAGGAGATCAAGAATCAGACAGAACTGCACACTGCTCTCCAAGGCCGAAAGTCGAGGACCAGCACTTATGTCCATCCTTGAAGAACATGGGACTCCTGTGCAGCCACACCTTAGAGCACTGTGTCTAAAGCTGCTGCCAGTGTCTACATTTTGGGAGGCTTAATATGCACCATTCTTCACAGCAGCTTTTGTTTTACTGTATTTTATTTTTCAGTGGCTATAACAAAAACATTTCTGAAGATCCACAAATTGGCTGAGTCACAGAAGTAATCTGGCAGACTCCATATTGGGTGATGCACGTGTATAAATAACTAGAGCAAAATATACTGGATGCTATAAAAAGGTAGAGCCAACATCGTAAGGAATTTTTTGCTTTTAAAATGATGTTTCGCTTTATAACAGAACTCACTATGGTGTACAACTCAATATGTGGGTGATATGACAGGAATAGATATGTTCATATTAAAAAAGACCTGAGAATTAGAGCTCACTAAGCTTAACCTGGTTTACAGCATGAATCAACAAAAACAAACAAGCACATACATGCTCTTCACCAGGGTTAACCGAAGAGGCTGAAGAGACCCTATGCTCTATGGGGGATGAGCAGTTCTTAGACTCTGCTTTAGGCACCCTGTGCTACTGGTGCATTGCAGGACTGGGAGGTTGAGAACAGTGGGTGGGAGTAAGTGAAGGTCTGGAAACCAGATCAGGTTAAAAAACAGTCAAGAGACCAGCAGTGGTTTAGGTGGAGAAGAGGAAACCGGATAAGAATTGCATCTCTCACCCTAACCCTAACCACTATAGCAGGTCCTTGAGGTTGTCTTCCTCTGGTTACTCTAGGGTACACTTTGATAGTATCCACCCTATTCATTCCCAACTCCACCCTCCTCAGTGGAGATGCCACCTCTGCCATGGGGACTGAGAATGCTGCTCCAGCCATCCTAACAGACAGGGCTTGGCCCACGGGGCCTGGCAAGCAGGTATCAGGGGCTTCTGGGAATGATCTCCTCTAACAGGCAAAGTACTGCCATGGATATTGCTGTGTCCATGCCTGGAACTAAGGCAAATCCCCATGATGAGAGGCCCAATGAAAGCACACGTTCATACCCTGAGGATCCCAAGAGAAAGATGAACCCTGTGATTTAATGGTATAGCTGTGCCACTGAACAGACCTGGAACACTGAGGCCCACATACCTTTTCATCTGCAGAAGACATACACTCACTTCTAAACTCACTTTTAATGGGTGCCTCTACTAGTAGGATCTTCACTAACACACTCTCAACTAATCTCCACATCAACCCTAGAATGAGTCACTTTAAAATCCAAATCTAGTCCTAACACTGCCATGATTAAAACCTTTCAATGGCTGCCCTCTGCCTCCATTAAGAGAAGGTGCTTGGTAAAGTCCTGCAATGGTTGAGTGATTGTGTCAGCCTGAGAAGTTTAGAAGCTTAACTAGTAGGTTCAGCAATTCTACACTCTAGGATATAGAGAACCTGCCCTAGGCCAGCTCATCGCATGGATGGTATGAAGGAAAAAATGAAGAAGGATGGACTTGCTTCTGTTCTTCAGAAGAGCTCTAGTCTTCCCCTTCAACTTAAACGTCATCTCCTGGCTTCCACCTCAGATTGCTCAGCCTTCCATCACAGACTTTTCACCCTTCCATTGCTCACCCATTGGCCTCCTGACACAGATCTCTACACTGGACACTGCAGAGAATGCCAGACCTTGGACTAAAACTGTCAGTCTCCATGGCGTAGAACCCTCTGCATGTTTCCTCATCCAACTCTGTGAGTGACCACTGTAGACCAATCTTGTAATTTCTTATACATTTGTCTATCTTGTATTGTATTTGTTTCTCTAGTAAAACACTGAATGATACAAGTCCCCCAAGATTTGCCATAAACCATCTCTCGCACTACCACACACAATCCAGGCCATGACTTCCAAACACACACCTTCATGTGCTTATCTCTTCAATTCTGTGGGTTGCAACAATATGAACCACAAGTAAATCAAGCCTCCCGTGCTTATGGCAGCCTTGGACCTGTGCACACACCTAGATCCATGACTAGGGTTTGGGGACAGACAGTTATTCCCCCCAAAGGCTCATGTGTGAAAGTCTTGGTTCCAACGTAATGACGTTGAGAAGTGGCATGGAGAATAGAAGGCGATGGAGGGAGAGATGTGAAAAAAAAAAAGAAAGGCTGGACAAGACAGAGAGTGGACAACAGAACCACATATAACTTCATCCCATGGAACAGCCACCAGCTGACAGCCTGTGCTTTGTGCAGGTTCAAAATCCCTGCAGCACAAGCCAGTGGGGCTCTCACTGCAGCCCCATGGCACAGATCTAACTTGAGCAGCAGCTATGTACATTGGGACCAGGACCCAGAAACTGGGGCCACTACACGTGGATGATGCTGGACTCACTGTGGCAGTGTCTTGAGAGTTCAACCCCCATAGCCCTCAGCAGGGCCTCAGTGACAAGTCCTTGGCTCTTCTCTTGCCCTGCCCCACTCCCTAATTCCCTGACTCCTACTTTCTGGGATCACACTCAGATCTGCTGTCTGCAGCCATGGCTGCTTCTAAAGGAGCACAAGCTAAGACAGTCCCTCACTTGCCCCAAATGCACACCTCCACACACTCATACCTTCAGTTCATTGTAGTTGCACACATCATGGATCTAGGCTGGCCACATTCTGTTCTGGAGAGCTTCAGAAGCCTCAGCACTAGGTTTGCCCTTGGGCACTGTGGGTCAGGGACTGCACTAAGCAGCCATGCAAATTGTTCTAGGAGATGACCTTAGCAGACTCCTTGAGGACTGGGGCACTGTTCAAAGAATAGAGCCCTAGAAAGAACAGTGAGCATATTCCCTCCAATGCACATGCCCAGTGCATTTAGGGATTATTGGGTAATTCAGGTTAAGACATCAACATGTGGAAGTAGAGATGTGGCTAAGAAGGCCAGTGGGAAGACCTGGATGTCACAGAAACCGTGACCTCCAAGTACAAGTGCAGTATATACAGAAATGCCAGATTCATATTATATGCCTACTGCACCTGCTCCTCCCATCCCTGCACCTAGCGCCAACTCAGCTGCATGGCTATTCTTATTCCCAATGTTGGTAGTCTACACACAGTAGGCATTCAGTAGTTTGTGGAAAGCAGGGATGGTGGAGGCTGAAAAAGAAGGACACTTTCCCAACAGTTTGGTTGGTAGTTTTGTGCTGTCTTGCTTTTGG